AATTTAAAGAGTTAATTTACGTTAAATTATAAAGATGTTATATCTTGATTAACTATTTAAGACTGATTAAGACTGATTAATATCAATATCGATTATGCTCTCTAATTTATGTATTCATACTTTGTCTAATCTCTTGAAGAAAATCAAAATAAAATAATGCTAAAAGTAGGATTCTTATTCTTTTTATTCATTAATATAAATATAAATTCTTAAATTGATACTTATAAATATAATTTCTACTAATTTATTTATTTAATCATTTCTATTAGGTTAAATTCAAACTTATTCATTTCCCATTCTACTATAATTTAATGAATCCAAAAATTAATAATCAAGGTTAGAGCCTTAAAAAAAAGAATTAAGCAATCTCATTTATTTTTTATTCTCATTTGACTTCACATTGAAGATGGTGAACAAAGTTTAGATAATAAATTCACGGATTTAGATAGATATGAATATATATTTTTCATCCACTTTTAAAGAGGAATATGGCAGCATATCGACATAGAAATAAATAAAATTCTGATTTTCATGTGTGACGTATGAATCAAAGTTTCTACCAAAAGCACTATGCCAAGTTGGATTATATTTTTTATCAAACTCCTTTGTGATGAATTCCTAATATTTAACATTTTTGTAATACAGCAAATTCTTTTCCAATGTCGATCTATTGCATCTTGTTACATTTCTTCTGACATATCAGTATTTTTAACGACTGCTTTTAGATTAGCTTAAGCCATTTTTATATTTTATTATTATTTAAATTTATTAATAATAATTTTTAATCTCCACTTCAGATTTATACAAACTGAGTAAGGTATGCACTTGAATCCTATTTAATTTTTCAATTGAGAATTTTGTCCTTATTGATATTCAATTTTAGCTATGCATAATTTTTAACCTCAAATATGTTTAATTTCAAGTTATAGATAATATTTTATGCAAGTATTATAATAATTCGATATATTTAGTATTGATTCAAATAAAAAAATGTTATGTTTATATAGGTTTCACTTTCAAAAAAGTTTGAATTTAAAAAAATCATAATTTAAGAAAAATAGATAATTTTTAATATTCAATTAAGGTCAAATTAAGTACCTAAAAACATCTTTAAAGCAATTTTTAAGTATTTTAAATCATAAATTTATAACGAAACAAATGTCGCTATCTCTCTATTAATTAAATGAAAAATTTGAAATCTAATTATTTTATTTAATTTTGTAATATAATGGATAACAATTAAAAAACAGAATATTATTTAA